TGGCCCAGACTCCGGATTTCGTTTCGGGCGAGAATGCACTCAGTCAGAAGGAGCGAGAGCTGGTGCGGTCAACATCCAGCGTTCGGTGAGCGAGCCATCGTATCCTTATCATCCATTAGTCAGGATTCATCTTAGCTCTACGGATTACAAGCTTATCGCAAAAGCACAGACGCGCACGCTCTGCCCCGATGTCCGAGGTTTCCTTAGCCTCTCGGCGAGTTTTGTGTCATCTGACTTCCGTCCACTGTGTCCCTACGGTCAACTAGCGGGGTGAAGAAAAGGCTTACGGTATACATGCACTGGCGGGTAGAGACATCGGACTCGAATCCTCTCTCGTGGAGCCGAAGTCGGACGAAGTAGCTTCCCTGAGCTCGCATTTCGGACCGAGGTAGCGCCGCAACAGGAAATTTCCCCTGACTCCCATCTCTTCTGGGAACTCCGAGTGGAAACCTTCCAGAACCGTTTTGTTCGATTGAGGTTCTTCGAATGAAAAGAATTCGGGCTGTGGATTTCCGCGGAGATTCCGAAAGGACAAGCAGATTCAAAAGACAAAAAAGAATAGAGCCACAAGCAATCGATGACTCGATCGCGGCTCCGCCGCATGAAAAATGAAGCGAGTCCTCTCCGCAATCAACGACCTCACTCAGTCTGTCTCGAACCGGAGCTCCTCCCCACGCTGACCGGGGGCTTCGCCGAGAAAGCAACAGCGTCTCCCGAACTGGAGACTGACTGACTGGTCGAGATATCGACTGGAGGGGACGGGAGATGTCCGGCCGGGGTGCGGACGAGGAAAGTGAAGGAAAGCACCGGGAATGTGCTGCCTAACGAACTGATTAAGAAGCACGAATGGTCTTGGTGGGACTCGGGACGGGGAACAAAGTGCGTGCGGCTATGAGCGTGTGAGCGTGGCGAGGTGCGTGTGTTTACAGAACGACTTCGAGGAGAGCAGAAACGAAGGTAAACACAGTGAGCATCAGCTGCGAGCGCAAGCGCTTCCGAGTAAAGAGAGCAGAAGCTGTAGTCGGTCTGCGAAGAATCGCTCTCCACGTTCAATGGCACGTTCGTATTTCTTCTTTTTTTTATAAAGCTGCTCCATAGGCTATTAATTAAGTCGGCGATCCTTACCGCGAGGCAGCCGGCGGAGCCTGAGAGGAGAGAGGTCGGAAGAGAGTTATGAATCTCGAATTTTGCTTTCGGATGGATGCCCGGAAGTGAAACGAGAACAAGGGGTATAGACTCGCAAAAAAGAATATACGCAGGCGGCCGGCGCGGGTCGAGAGGGCAAAAAAGTTTCTATTCGATTCTAACCGTGTCGAGGGGGTTCACGCGCTTGTCAAGTAACTATATTTACTCATCTAGTTAGTGCTGGCGCGAGGCTGCGGTCTCATTTGGTATGTGTCACTTGTTATCACTTTCGCATGGACAGCTTCATGCTTGCCCGTGCTCGCCCGAGCTCGCGGAGGGAAGTCCCCCACGCCTGTCGCAAAGAGAGACAATCCGAGAAAGAATGAGACAAGAATATTGAAAAAACGTCGTGAGGCTGACCGAGCTCGTGTCCGAGTCAGGGGGACGCATGAGGGCTGGGGGTCGAGGCTGGAGTATTTCCAGATTTCCTGCTCCGAATTCATTTGCCTTGATTCGTTCCTGATCGATCGCTGCTACACGATCTCGGTCCGAGGGCCAGGCTTTTGACGTGAAAACGTCTTCACCCGAATAGCCATTACTTAACGCACTTCACGGCTACATATCTCGATCCTCATTTACGTGGTCGGCAACCTAATTCCTGGATCAGAAGGGGAATTTCCGGGATTCCACTCTGAACGAGATCCTTGCGATGCCTGGTTATTTTGGTTTTTCTACATACCCCTCGATTTGGCCTGGTATCTGATATACACATGAAGGTGAATTTTAGCCTCGTTATAGCATCTCATTAGGAGAAATTTATATACGGAGGTAGATTGAGGGAAAAGGGGTAAGAAAGAGCTGTTTTCTTGATTATTATCGAGACGAGCTTTTCTAGATATTCCATCAAAACTCTTCGATTGCGCAGCCACTTCATGGTGGAAATGTTTAGTCGTTTGAATAATAATGAAATAAGCCTGAGAATGCGTCCAAAACATGCGAGTCTCGACGGCGGAAGCAACGCGCAATAGCTTCGGCAAGTTCTGAAAACTCCCGTATTAAGCGACCTAGATTATCAACCCGCTCCTTATTGGTTGAAGGTGGAGGGAACAACCGAGCCGAGTGTCTCGACATGGATTTCTCAGGGACAGCGAGTGTTACGCCTGGGATGAATTCAGTGCTTCAGGTTAGTTCTACCTCCTCTGATCATGGAACTTTCCGTGATGTTTCTTACGGGCTGGCATGGCAGCGTGCTACTATGAACTTCAAGCGTGTCTTCGTTGAAAACGAATCAGTCGAGGCTGGACACCTTCCTGACCGACATTGAAGGAAAAACTGCTGAAGACCGATTACCTGAAGACGTTTTCAATCATATGATGGTCATGCCCCCGACATAACCTAGTCTGAATTTTTCTCCGCATCTTTGACAGGTCACGGAGTTCTCAATGAGAGGCTCGACGCGCTGCTCATCGATCGATCTCTGAATCGATCTTTCCCGCAGCGGATTGTCGCCTGTGAGGATTCAACAGCCAAACGGTCAAGCATCGTACCTCAAGACATCGTGCCCGGTGACTGCGTCCATCAGAAAACAGGCATCGCAGCGAACATCAGCCGAGCTCTGAGCTTTCTATGCCCCAGACTTGGACCCCAGCTCAGAGACCTGGGATTCGTGCAGCTACTCTAAGTTCACCCTTACAGAACCGTGAGTCTATGAATTTGTCTGGACGTCCTCCCGTCCAGACACGGCACAACACCCGAGGCAGCGACCGGATATCCCCCGGAATCAGTGAAACCAAGTAATCAGAAGATAGATTCTCCCCGACGCGGGAAGGAATCAAATAAAAAATTCTGACTGGTCGTCCAAGCCTTTTTTTCCGAAAGCTCCTCTTGAAGGAGGCAAATCGCTGCAGCTGCAAAAGATCAGCGTTGTTGAATTTCGAGCGAAATGGCTCCGCGCCCGCCCGGATACACCACAGAGTAAGTGTCGCGGTCATGGTGTAGCTGCTGCTGTCCAACTGCTCCCGCCCGCTTTGAAGTCGAAGCTTGATTGATCTTTGTCCTTAACTCCATCACATTTGTATTCGAAATCGCTATCGGCGGCAATGATGTTATCTAGTTCGCTCCTTCATCGACTTAGCTTCTCCACTTTAAATCTTATTCTCTCCGACTGCTGCTGCCCTTGCTCATCGTGCCGATATCAATTCTCTGGGTGGACTCGTCTGTCGGTCGATCCGAATTCGTTGTCGGCTGGCGAGGGAACAGCCTTGGAGGAGGCCCGTCGACCGACCGGGGAAAGACAGGGGGAGCAGAGGTCCAGTTCTGACGAAATTCAATTTGGACGTACGTGTTCTTTTTTTTAAAGCGAAAGCTACCGGAAAGCTGCGTTGAGCCTGCAAGTAGAAGGGAAGACCAACGAAGAGAAACATAGCGACTTCGGCAGCAGCGGTGGTTGTCTGCTGCAAGGGCAAGCGGCAACGAACGAAGAATCTCTTCCTTTCGGGACTTAACGCTAATCAAAGACTCCGTGAGTGACGTGAGAGGAATACAAAAAAAGGAGCGATGAAACAACCGACAGATGGACTTCTGCCCTCAGTCGCTTCCTTCCGGTTCTCATTGCTTGAACATTTTCAACTTCCGTCGGAGTTCTCGCTGGCCGGCTGCCCAGCCGGCGATCCGTCGGCTAGCCTGCCTGCCGATTCGGTACATTTGGATTCCACCACTTGAAGATCCCCTCCTGATTTTTCCTGCGGAACCCCTCCGGAACTCAGTCGATGTTGCACAGAGATCTTTCCCGACGGCTCCGAATCCCCTCCATAGACTTCTGATCCCTGCTGAAAGAGCTCGACCTTTGCGTGTTCCGGATGATCACTCCGGGTGTCCCGCTACCGACCGGAGCATCACAAATCGGAATACGACGACAGATACTATGTATACCCGTCGGGGGAAGAACATCGCATCGCCTCAAATTCTCGCTAAGTCCATCGGGGACGCTAGCGGACTGGAATTAGGACAGCTTTTGTGTCTATTGGGCTCATGTGACCACTACACGGGGGAGCTTTATGTATCCATCCCAAGCCCCCGATCCCCAGATCCGAGCCGAATGGCCGGCGGCTGGCTGAGGGCAAACTGAGCACATAGATCGGGAGGTAGCTTTGTAGGTAGATAGATAGATTGGATTATCGCTAGCCGCGCTCGCAAGTCGGTAAATATCCTTTAGGGCAACATAAGGCAAACGATGGAAACGAGAGACGGGAGGCAGTATTTCAAAAGACTCGATCACCTTACCGCTCACAGTAGCAAATACACGAGAATTAATTCGCCTGTTCGTATGGCTTACTTGTTCATCGCTTGCTTGCTCGGTCGGTCGGTCGGTCGGTCGCTCACTCACTCACTCGCTTGCATAGTCATCGAAGAGAGGAGGCAGACAAGAAGTTTGAGGCAATATTTGCTCAGTCGATGACTCAACGAGCATGCTGTCCTGGTGGAGAGATCATCAGACTTGTTGCGAGCGATCAGTCCGGAAGACCTATTCTCCAGAGCCCGAGCGCTTGCTTCTCTCGTACCTCGAAAGAGGAGTCACCCCGAGTGCTTCCCCCAGCGTGAATGCACAGAGTTTCCAGGCACATGCTAAGTTATAATCGAAGGACACAATTATAAAGTTGGCCAAGTGATCCATATACATATGTATAATACTAGGTTCGAGGACTCATTTGGTCGTCCAGAGTGTCTGTCTCAATACCGCGAGGCGAGAGCCAGACAGATAGATGCCCAAATATATGAGTTTCCCGCGCATGGAGAGAGGCTCTTGATATGGGGTATAGTATTTCTCGTTCCGCGGTCATCTCCTGCTTGCGGGAACGCAAAGGATAACACGCGAATAAAATGAGCCCCTCGAAAGCGGAGCAGCGTCTTTCGTTCATTCTTCCTACTCTTTTCATATGAAGTCACATGAAGGAGAGGCTGAGTCTTCAATATACATACAATATCTTTTCCACCATCGGAGGTATGCGCGAGCTCTTCAGATCCTTCAGGATCTTCTACGATGCTGCATCGATGCGAGAAATTTGGGCTAGCAGGAGGTGCTGGATATAATCGAGGAATCCATCTCGGTACCGAGATTGATCCCAGGAGATGAATATGACCTAGCTATCCATTCCCGGAGCATTCAAGTCCTCATGATTTGTTCCCGCCCTAGTACATTTCCAGGGATCAACTCGCTTCGTCGCCGGATGGTGAAAAAGTGTGGATTGATACCAGTATCACACAGATGAGAGTCCACACCATTATGAATGGGATCCAGAATGGGCGCTTGAATGGACTCGCGAAATTATTCTTGACTCCTGTTCCCATGTGTAGCGTGACTTGCCTACGTGCAAAGTACACCAAACTCGCGGGAATAACGTATTGGATTATTGCTCCGGCGAAGGCCCCTGTGAATGGCAATGAGAAGATTATTTCTCAGGAATGTAAGTTCGCAGAATAAATATTCGAGGTCACCGACGGCACAAATTCTGAGATCTCGCCTAACCTGTCACGCTGACAAGAATTTTTACATCTTCGGTGAAGAAGGAGACGATCATCGGCGGAATGATCGCCAAGATCGGGATCCCGATCTGAGAATGGAGCAGGAATAATTGGTGTTAAACTTCGCCAGCGGCTCTTTCAGTGAGTGGGCCCTTCGGAATTGAAGTCTAACCTTTTCCAGTAACCACGCTGGATTGTCGCCGAGAATGAGTGTCTTGAGATTATTCTGAAGGGTTATGGCGATGATGGGGAAATTCGTGGAGAGTGTGATAACGGGGAAAAGTGCTAGAAAGTACTGTAGAGGAGCAATGACCGGTACGATAGATTCTCCTTTCGTTGGCTCAAAATTCAGAGTGTAGGTATCCTGCAGGACGCTGAATGTGAAAACTCCTGTCGAGGTAGAACTCTGAAGTTAGAATCGTGAGATCGCCCGATCTCGACCTTCCGTTTCCGAAGTCTACTGAGAAGAGGCTGAGAAGAAGCTCTTCTCAGGACAGTCGTACAGCCCGAGAGAGCGATTCCCGAAACTTGCCTGTCAGTGAGAGAAGGTTGTAGAAGCAAAAGATGAGCAAGAAATCTCCAGCAAGCAATCTGTATATGTTATTCTTCTTCGTTATCGGCGTAACCAGCGATGGCAAGGAATGATGGCACATAAAGGAGTACACGCACACTCCGAAAAGTGTAGGCAGTTCCAGCGGTTTCGCTGCGCTCGGCTTGCCGACAGCTTTGCCGCCGATAATGGCAACAGCGCACAGTGTGATCATCGATAAGAAAGCTACGGACATGGAGAGAGGAAGATTATGAAACAACAATGAATTAGGTAGTCGAAGGTATTCACTCATTGAATCGACATTAAGGATTCACGTATTGGGAAATCCGTCCAAACATTCTCACCACTCCAACGGAGAATCGTCGTACCAATTTGCAGGTACTTGGTTTTTTTATATTGAAGAAGGTGAATGGCGCTATAACGACCCCGAATATCGCGAGGAAAAGTCGGTACGCCTGCGAAAAATCAGCGAGAACGACTTACAGATGCTTGAGTGCATGTCTGAATAGAAAGCTGATCTTTGCGTCTTCCTCGCTGAGGGAGTCTCTCCTCGGAAAACTCTATCATTCTTACCTGGTCGCGATCGATGCTCATGGTCGACCAGCACAACGTATGGTGATCTTTAGCCTCCGTCTCATTCACTCGATCACTGGAAGGCAGCCAAAGATTACTGAAGATCGCTCTATTGGGAGAATCCAACGAGGAATAATCTGCCTCATTCGTCTGAGTTCAGTCATGCTTCGAGCTGCAATACTCCGGAATAATTAGGAGGCGAGATATATGAGCTTTTTTATTAAAGGTATATCTCGAGGCATCGAATCCCCTGCGGTACGCTTGGGGCCACGATCCTTACCAATTAACGTCACGGAGAGACTTGGCCACGGCTGTTCCGTAAATGGCGAGGTCCCCGTACAGGTAGCTAGCGATACAAATGTAAAAAAGTCGCAGACCCCATTTATTGTAAAACATTGAAGCCATGCGACCTGAAAACCACAGAGAGAATCATCCTTAGCCAGGACTGAGAAAGTCAGAACCCGCTGGAACCATCCTTGAGACTGGACTGCCGGGTTCAGATTTGTGTCAGGTTGGAATGATTCAGGCTCACCCATTTCAAAGACGTCATTTATGGCGAAATAATCCGTCGACGAGGGTTCAGTCACGTCTTCGATTGCGCCTGCGAAGATGAAATGAGACTCGTGATCTGATTCTAGGTATTTAGAGCTTCGCCGGATAGATATCACCGAAGAGAGAGCAGCTCCAATGAATATAATCTGCTGCTCCCGAAGAGCTCCACGACCGCACATGCCATGCTTGCAACTTACCGAGGGAGGCTCGGCGATCGCAAGGAATCCCAGCTAGTCCAACGGTATTCTAATCGTGCCCATGCAAGAATATATAATCATGCAATCGGAAAACAAGCAGGGGAAGACGAGCAGGAGCAAGATTAGAAGGAGAAGTGGAACATATAGTTAGTCAGAATCCCCGGTCGGAATGAGATCTTGCCCAATTGCGCTCTTACTGTTCACAAGCAGATGTACCCTTTCATCGCTGTCGAGATTCTGTCCACTTATTTCATCGTCTCTTGTGTCGTGCTGCGAGAAATAAAGGATGTCGAAACGACTCCGAATTCTGGAGAGGGCCTCATCGGGAAAACTCCGGTCCGCACGAACGTGCGCCCAGACGAAGCGTACGCAGCTCGTCGCGGACCGCAAGCCTCGCAGGAACCGATGAGATTGATGGGCGCTCAGACCTATGTATATCTAGGATTCGATATCTACTCACCTCGATGTTGTTGGAGTCTCCAAGATTTCCGGAGGTCTCCTGTAGACTCAACGCCTGTGAAGGTAATACCGTCAGCTCGTTCGTCTCACAGCGCATGCAGGGTCTCAAGAGAGGGCTGATCGAGACAAATAATATTCTACGAAGAGTTCTGATCGCATTTCAGAATTGACGCACCCGTTTGCGGTCCCCCAATGCTCGGAAGCGCACCAAAGCGTTCGCGGCAGCCATCGATTCGATCATGAAGGTGGCCGTCAAATATGATATGAAAGCCAAAATCACGACCCCGATAACCGACAGAAGCCAACCAGCATCGTGGAAGGCCTTCGGCATCGTCAGGGCTCCGGTGCCCACAATGAGGTTGAAAATATAAATCAGTCCGACCTGAGGATGAAACGAGGATGATCAGCCTGACCTCCCACATCCGCCTCCTACCAACCGAGTCCCGCTACGCTGCCGGACATCTTGAGCGCGGTATCAGGCGAAGAATCCAACTCACCCATTCTGAATAGCCGTCAGAAACAGGACCCGCGGCTGGCATCTTCGCTCAATGATCGACTGTCGGAGAGCTGAATGGGATTTGAGGTTAGAGATTCGTCGGAAACGCCCGCAACAGTCGAATCGGAGAGAATCTGGAAGATTAGCAAGATCAAAGCGCGTCAATTTACTCTTGATCCGCGTGAGCTAAGATCTCTACGTTCACGAATGAGCCAGTGAGATTCGATCCTCCGGAAGGCTTGTGGATACCGGCACTACGTCACCGGATTCCGGGGGAAAATCGAGAGACGTATACTCTCCTCCGGAAAATTAATCCTTCCACATTAATCGGTTTTGTCCACGAAGCGTCATCGATCGTCACTACTCGGCGAAGGGCTTAAGGAGTTTACTGGTCTTTCTAATGAGCCTACAGTCACCGGACTCTCCTCGATGCTTTTCTCTATCGTGCTAAAGACCCGCAATTATTCTCCGGCGATTCAGCGGAAGCTGATGACATATGTAATTCTTTGTCGGGGTTTCTCGATCTGAGGCTCGCTCGTGAGGGACTTCCTGAACCTTCTTAATGAGCTGGATCCGATGATCGATCCTAGGTGGGACTTCAAGTATTCTCGATTTGCGAAGCGAATTCCGCCGATTGACGGAAAACTTCGGGCCTCAGCTCGATGGATGCTGCTCTTACTTGAGGCACAGAATCTCGAATCTCTCGGAAAGGATCGGCGAGCTCCGAATTGGGAACTTTGCTGATTCGACATCATCTTGTGTAGTAGAAAGCAGTATTTACGCGAGTATCCTTCTGCTTACTCTTAGGATAAAACAAAGTTATCCCCTTGGGCAACTCTATCTGGCGCCACCGGCAGAATACGAAAATGTCGGTCAACTCGTTACCGTCGTTTCAGGTGAACCGAGTGCTCGTTTAGAATAATTGAGACCAGAAAATCTCACCATTCATGTTCTCTGATTCCCGACTTCATCGTAGCCGCGATATGTTGCAAAACTTCTTTTCGGCTAGCGATGCCTCCACTGCAAATCACAGAGAAACTTCACTACGAGTCGGAGAAATATCCGTTACAGCATGACGATGAACTCGCAACGCAACAGCTGAACAACGCTGCCTGATCGGAGGTTCTCAGAGCAGCACGCTTTCCCATATGATCGGTAGGAGCATATTGCATGTCGATTGTCAGTCTGAACGTCACTTACACGGTGCAGTCAACGTCAGCTGACTCGTGATATGCCATCGGAATAAAACTCATAGTTTCGATTACACGGTCTACGCTGTAGAGATTCATCCTGAACTCTGATCGATGACATTCACACGTACGAATCAACTACGCTCCGCTGCTCGTCATTCATGTAAACGTGAATTTCATGCTTGCTCGGGATCCCCCATCCGTCTCGGACGGTACTCCCCAAGCGCTCATCCGAATCTTCTCAGCTGATGCCGAAAGACTGATACGACTGAACGTTCGGCAGCCCCGTGTCCAGCACCACTACCACCATCACTGTACTCTCACGCCGAAACGATCCGATCATTGCGTTGCGGCTTTTCGATGCGATTATGGTTTGTACGAGGACAATGGAAATAGAATCGATGGCCGAATTGTGGAAGTCTTTCTGCAGACTGGACGATCCACGGAGAGTCTCCCTCCAGGAGAGAGATCATGGAAAAAATTGCCGTGCGGGGGATGGCTCAAGACGCTCCGGATCTTGGGCCATTCTAGCTCCATCTTTCATGAGAAACTGTCCGGGCCGCGGCGGAGTACGACTGTCAAGATTTGTGACTAAAGCGCTCGATCGATCACGTCTTGTCCTACCTGCTGTCGCTAATAAACTCGGAAAGCTCCAAATGGAGGATGATTAGGACCGCGTAGGACAATCACGAAGAAAGCGACCTAATGCCCGATCACACAAATTGTCGTTGAGCCGCGAGCATCATCTTTCATTGGAGAACTAAGTTCTGCGAGTAATTGCGGATAGAGAGTAGCATAGCGCTGACGCAAGATGCTATCGCCTATGGCTCTCGCCCATCCATCCGTACCATATCTCGAGCTGCTCATCGCCATGGACGCCGCTTCGAGGAACGGAATATTGATCCGTGAAACGATCGGACAGTCCAAATATTGACATTGCTCTATTAGCTTTCCCGCTAAAAACGAGATTTCGCTTCCCATTGTTCGGATGATTCAGGGAAGGATACATCGTTGGCCCCGAGCGCTTCGTGAAGGCTCCGTCGAGCCTCGTGCCCAGATACTTCTCGCAAGACCTGCCCAATTTTATTGGCATTCCGGCGAAGATTGAGGAATTTCTCCGGCGCAATTGCGCGCCCCTAGAGCTCCCGCTGGATTCGCGAATCGTGACTGCGCTCCTCAATCATCTGATTCCAGAGGGATCCAGTCTCATATTTTGGGAGCTCCCATCTGGAATCACGGTCCCCTGTCCAATCGAGTTTAACCCCGTATCACCTTCGACATGCTCTTCGACATGTGAGGATCACTCACACACAGATCACCATCATCATCTCTCACCCGGCTGAGGAACACGGCATCGAAAGAGAAATTCATCGCGCACCTATTGCGAGCGACACACGGCCTCGATTTCTCTAAGTGAGGTTCCAAAAGTTCCACGGCTCCTGCTCCCAGTGATTCGTGAGTAGCGATGTCGGCGGTTTCTAGCCGCTTCTCAGAATCCAGCAGCCAGCAGCGATGAGCATGAAGGCCCCGGTGCGAGGATATTCCCATACTTATCCCGTCTGGCTGAAGTTTCCGAAGGCTCTGAAGCTCCACCGCTACGGCTGTCTTTGCCTCAACTTGACGTCCTTCCAACTCCGGACACGACCGGTTTTCCGAAGTCTGGAGTCTCAGTCCCTGAGCCTGACATTTCTTCATCGACCCCAGGGGAACCTCCCGAGAGAAACTGATCAGCCACACTAATCGTGACACTTTTCCCTCATTTAGTAAGCCTGCTCGCAGGATGTGCACGATCCGACCCTTCACCTGCGCGGACCTACTCTCATATAACAACGTCAACTTGGATGTTCTGACAGAGACCTACGGGGTTTCTTTCTATCTCACATACCTTGCGAAATGGCCTGAATATTCCCAGCTGCTGGAGAGCGTGAACGGCGACATCATGGGTTACATCATGGGGAAGGCTGAAGGTTTCAGCCGCAATTGGCATGGACATGTTACTGCTCTCAGTGGTGAGTTGAGATCAATCCTTGTAAGAATCCCGCATGCGTTCCTCGGACTAACATACTCCCCATGATACGAGTTCCGCTTCGTACCGGCCTCGGCGGGGAGGGGGTCTGGTCAATCGGTACTTATTGCGCTCGCTTCCAGTCGCTCCGGAGTATCGTCGGCTAGGCGTGGCGAACAGACTCATGGAAAATTTGGAGAATATATCGGAGGAGAAGGGTTGCTATTTCGTGGATCTTTTCGTGCGTCTTTCAAACTCGATCGCCATCGACATGTACGAGCGCCTAGGATACACTGTCTACCGACGCGTGCTCGACTATTATTCGAGATTGAATTCGAATTTAGACGAGGACGCATACGACATGCGGAAAGCCCTTAGCCGCGATGTAGACAAGATTTCCATCATCCCCTTGGGCAGAGCAGTAAGATCGGATGAACTGGATAATTCGTGAAGGAGCGATTCTGAATAGCAATCAATCGATGTATCAACTGATCAACGAATCAATCATGTATATTTCCCCTTGTATAATAAAGAACTCCTTCCTGAACTCTCGCCGTTCTCCCTACTCCAGGGAGCTTCTCGTATGGAGGAAGACGGTGGTTTCCTGACGCGAGATTAGCTTCTGCTGGAGTATCCGTCGGCAATTGATTTCTGTGGTAAGTTGATGAATGCTCCGATTCGTAGGACAATCAGACTCTATATTCCGTCGTTCTTGATTGCGTGATACGGAGGAGGGGTAAGACCTGGCTCCGCGCGCCAAGCCGGATGACCACCAGAATTGGACTGACGATCGTTCCTATCGCCCCCACCGGTCCTTCGACGAAACAACCCTCGCACCGCAGCTGATCTACATGCGAGAGCAAAATCTGAATCATTGAGTTTCGGGGGAAAGTAGCGGAAGGAGCCTGTGCTTGGTCTCAATCAGATTCTATGGCTCGCACTCGATCACGGATCAAAGCAGACCGACCGCCTCATTCGCCGAGTCTCTCGGTATAGATCATTGTCATCAGTATCATTACAATCAGAGCGGTAGACATCACATATCCGAGGATTCAGGCCCTCCGTTCTTCAGGACGGGTCCGACCACAAACTGGCACGACCCCTTTCGAGTGGCATCTTCAGGGTAGGTTCCCCCGTCCTACGAAAGTTCACTAGGCTATTCGATCCCTTCAGAGAGGCTGTTGCTCTCGCGTCGAGGAGAGCTGTTCTGTTTGGCGCCTTCCGACTTCGAGTCGATTATATCAGAAACCAAGGATTAGAATAAGTCTATCGATCCAAATTTTTCCCTGACGCATTTTGATCGAGGTCTCTTCTCTCGATGTCTCTGGACCTCGTGATCTATCAGCGCAGCTCAAGAGCGGTCGTCCGTCTGCAAACACTCATTCGGTCGGTGCTCTTTTACTGGAGTCGATTCTTTGCGGAATGCTTGCTCGGCTCGCTTCTGCTCATTCCTCGAATATTCATTGCGGAGTTTCCACCGGGCTTTGACTATACAGACGCTCATTGTCCTCTCCGCATGTCTTGAAACGAATGAGGACACCTGTTGCTGCTGTGTTGTCATTCGAGACGGGTGTGTTCCAGCCCCGAGGAGAGCATCATTCGCTCACACATCATCATAGAACCTGCTATCGATAAGCGATGCCCCCGACGGCTGATCCCACTTCAGTCATGACTTGCGAAGCTGCTGCGGCTGCTCCTTGTCGGTAGTTCCGGCTAATTTCCGAAGTTTCGGGGAAGCATGTCAATCTCAACAAGCACGTTGATCTTATCTACGCTTTTTAATTCGCAGATATCATCATGAACGCGCTGAAAAACTATGACGATTTCAATCACATCGGTACGGGAGCCTTCGGAACAGTATACAAGGCTCGAGACAAGAAGAATGAAGGTCGTTTCGTCGCGCTCAAAAAAGTATGGGGAGCTCATGACCCGATGGCTTCGGAGAGCTGATCGATTCGTCTCCTCGATCGATGAAAACCGAAGAGTCGTTTCTGAATTATTCGCTTCCAGGTCCGAGTGGCTATAACAGATGATGGCGTCCCATTATCGGTCCTACGGGAGATATCTCTCCTGAAACAGCTCGAGACATTTCATCACAGAAACATCGTTCAGCTCTACGATATATGCCACGGGAAACGCGGCGAGAACGATCTTGTACGTCAAGTTCTGCTGATCTCCTCGAGCTGAGAATTTGTGGCCATACCGATACCGGGCAGTAGTGGAATCCGCGAACGATTCGAAACACTGAGCTTCTGGAAGCGAGTCAGAGAATCTGGGCGGTTAAAACTAATGTCATATCGATTGCAGGTGATCTTCCTTGTTCTCGAACACGTTGATCAGGATCTCGGCTCGTTCCTGGAGAAGTGTCCTGCGCCAGGTCTTGACCCAGATCTGATCCGTAGCATAATCCATCAAATGCTAACCGGCATAGACTTCCTGCATTCGAACAGAATCGTCCATCGAGACTTGAAGCCACAGAATGTGCTCATCACAGACAAGCACGTCATTAAATTGGCGGATTTCGGTCTAGCGCGAATTTATGAATATCAAATGGCGTTGACGCCCGTTGTGGTTACACTCTGGTAGGTTCATTTCATCGAGCGCGCCGCTCGCGACCTATTGGAAATGTCGATCCCGCCTCATCGAGGGATACACAAGGCGGAGATCTCGGCACCCAATTATTCGTTTCACCCTTTCCAATGTTCCGGACCATCATTCTCTTTCTGAATCCTCAGGTACAGAGCTCCGGAGGTATTGCTACAATCCGCCTATGCGAGCGCAGTGGATCTGTGGAGTTGTGGATGCATTATGGCCGAACTGTTCACTCGAAAACCTCTGTTCCCCGGTGGATCAGAAAATGCCCAACTGGGGAAAATCCTCGAGGTGATCGGAGCTCCAGCAAGAGAGAGCTGGCCGGAGGATGTCGCGATGTCGTGGGAACATTTCAGTTTATATGGCAAAGGTAGCTCTTCGATTTTCGATGCTGCACTTGATGAGACCAGAGGAGGAATTACGAGTTCTGAGGGGGGTCGAGGGAACGAAGGTGATGATGATTCTTATACTCAAAATGAAACTCCGCTCCACAGGTGAAGATCTATCGAAACTGATACCGGAGGCGGATGCTGCCGCTCTGAACCTCATCGGAAACTTGGTTGAATTCGATCCCACGAAACGGGTGACAGCCGAAGCTGCGCTCGCTCATGCCTATTTCGAAAATTACGTCCCCGATAACGACTCCTGAGAGCTCCTTATATTGTCGTCGTGTGTATCGAGATAGGCCATGGAAGAGGGGGAAGACTCCAGATGGAGTTCGAACAGACACTTCGCCACAAGCACTCGTGACCTTGCAGTATTAGAAACAAGTATTCAACGAAGAGATGTATCCATCGGAAACCCTTGTACAAATGAGCAATTTTCCGAGCGTAGAAATCGCTGTCCAGACGTAGGATCGACTAGACCGTTCGAATCGTGAGGATCATTGGCACACGATAGCGACATATTCGAAGTCTGTTATACCGTGGTGTTCTATGCAGTCCGGCGTGTGAACGTGTTATCATACGGCATTATAGCAAGGTGATGGTAATTGACTCATCACAGTGTTAGTACATACATATATACAGTCTAATTTTGATTTTGGTGGTATCAAGTTCTGGCGATCTCACCGCTTACGGAGAACCAATCGCGAGCCCGGGCATTTGAGCGGTCCTCGGCACTGGTTCACCCAATCAAGCCGTTGATCCAATGGGAGCAGTTGTACAAATTTTGGTGTCTTTTAGTTGCAAATATACTCCACCAACTACATTGATCCGGAACGTTCATTCATTCATTACGACATTACCAACAACGGGTAGATTCGGCAGAAGGAGAGTGTAGTGAAGTCCATACAACGCATGAACCCAGCAGCGGCGAGCTTTCCTTTAATGTCTTCGATACATTGCGAGCCTGCATATGCTTCAGGTCGCACGCTTAGTGCAAGCGAATAGAATGCCCCTCTAAGGGGATCTCATTCTCACCAGAGTCTGCAGAATCATCATGAGCACCATGGGGATTTCGTGGTGGCGGAAGTGATGTGCGGAGAAATTCCGCCAGCCGAAGACTACGTGTGGGTCTCACGGATGTAGGGATACTTCTTGTATGATTATCTTGAGGACCCACTCAGGCGGAGTCATCTACGCACAGAAGTTCTCCGAGTATGGTTTTCAGACAGAGTCGAAGTTGTATGCCCTCTGATAATCGTTTCGCGCGTATCATCGAGAGAACCAAGTAAGAATGTGGATTCCGGATGGCAACATAGGACGACACTTATCCTTTTTACGACATTTCCAACGATCACCGAGTCTTCGTCAAAGCTCGAGTCAGCGATTTTCATTGCGTTCATGTAAATCAGGACGGGTGTTGGAACCGAATATCTCGGCGAGGTCGGCGTAGTCTAGCGAAGCGGGCGACTCGGTCCATCCCCGGTCTGATCGATCAGAGTGCGCCATCACTGTGGTGTGAAGCACAGATCGCGATCTCGCAGTCGCATTCCGCATTTGAAAAGAAATCCAGAAGTGAAACCATTAGAGGGGGGATGCAGGGGTAGCCCCTAGCAAGGTGTCCTTCCGCCGACGCGCGATACACGCCTGCGGACGACAGAGAAACGAAGCTCGGCCTCGTCAGTCCAATGATGAACGAGCTCGAGACCGAACATTCGATACCGATCACCGATGAAGTTCATCGCTCTTCCGAGACTCCCATTCGAAGCTTAATTGTATTGATGGCGGAAGAGCCAATCGGAGGAGGCTCGAATAGCTAGGTGATGCTCCCAGGTCCCGGACGGCCATCTATCGAGAACAGCCAAGGGAGCTGGACCCGAATTTTCCGCGTGAACTTTTATCTGCTGTCTGGATAAGAGCGACCCGGAAAACCACGGGGGATTTTTTCTTTTCCTGGGACAGAGACGGAGCTACAGCTTCCCCCTCGGACAACAGATTTGTACTGACTCCGGTACCGGCTGTTACCCGAAGCGATCAGCCGTGTGGACCTCAATGTCGTTTGTCGAGATGAATCATAATCCCGCCCGTTCGCCGTGTTGTGTTCTCGTTTGCGTGACGCTGTCTTCCCGTTGGTCGCCCAGACACGTCGTAGAATACTGTGTCGGCGTGAAGCTCCGCTTGCGCGACATGTTCTAGTCTCGAACTCCCTACTCTTTATCGGAGGCGAGAGAATTCCGACAAATTCTGACTTCATTCAATACAAGATCAATGATGCGGATGCCGCGGGCTCGAGGACTCCGGAAGTCGCTCGAGCTTCTGGACGTCTCCGCTATGCAGATGCTCGAAGCGATTGGGACCGCCACCCTGTTGGTGGTCAGCTCCCCCGTCCTCCTGGCCTCATGTCTTAGGAGCAGGAAGAGTCCTCGCAATCTCCGCAGCTACGGCTTCTACCACCCGTACTGCAACGCCGGTCCGGGAGGTGAACACACATGGATCAGTGAGAGCTTCCCAGCTCTTGTTACCGATCAGACTGGAAGACGCTTGTAGGAGATGTCACTATACGCGGAGTTTACTCTGGGGAATATCGGATGCAGAAGGACGATTCTACAGGAACATATCGCTACCGGTGCGATTCGTTTACCTCAGGAGCAGGTCGTATCAAGGGGTCGTATGACATAGATCAGATTCCTTTCAAGGTCGGATGCTTAATATTTCCGAAATTGATGTAGAGTCCCGGAGTGTACACTGACACTGGCTACCGACCATAATATTTCTCCAAGTTCAAGATGGCAGAGTTTCCACTCTTGCGCTCGAGAGTGTGTCCTAGATTATCGTAGGAATGAAAGCCGTTTGCGAGTAATTTTTCATCCCCCGCCCTCGTTCTGGTCGGCAT